ATTTTCTCAATATACTACTTCGGATACATCCGATTTACATTTTGTTCACCCAATTTTTTCATTTTTCATTTTTTGATCTTTGATTTTTATGAAAAAAAACAATTGCAAAAGACTACCTTGCGATAAGAATTTTGGAAAAAAATTGAATAATTAACGAAAAAAAGAGGCAACAGAGAGAGAGAGAGAGAGAGAGAGAGAGAGAGAGAGAGAGAGAGATAGAGATAAGGGTAGAGAAATATCTTCTTTGAATTGAAAAGNTTGTTGTTGTTGTTGTTGTCATTGACATTGTTGTTGTTGTTGTTGTTGGTTGATTGAATCTATTTAAATTTTTATCGATAATAAAAAACATCAATGGGGGAAAAAATGAAATTATAATGGACAATTTTTGTTTTATTGGATCAAATATCCATTACTATCCCGAATGTGTGTGTTTTGGCAATTATTGTGAATGAAAATGAAGAAAATTGCATAAAAATAATGTTAAAATTTGTATACAACAAACGATAAAATGGTTGTATAGCAGAGAGAAAACAACAACAAACAAAACAACAGAAAATTTAATGTTTCATCGATAATAATAATGATGATGATGACAAAAGAATTGCTCGATAATCAAACTGGAATTTTTTTTTAAAAACGAGAAGAAATTTCATAAATTCATTCAAAATTTTTGGGAATGATAATTTGCTGCTGTCGATCGATTGCAATGAATATTCAAACTTTAATTATTTTCGAAATGATAAGAATTTACCAAACACACTAGAATAGTGATATTGTTTTTTGGTTTTTCCAATGTTTTTTGTTTGCTGCTTTGTAGATAATAAAAAACAACAACATCAGGGAAATGATAAAAGTGATTTTCTACTTTCACTTTTCTAAATGATTTCAATCTCTTTGATTCTATAAATATCTGTTGAATATATCTATAAGTAACAGATAGAAATCTTATTTAAGAGTTTTTTTTTGTATTTTTAAAAGGGATAAATTTGATAATTTAAAAAAGGCGTTTTTTTCCCATTGGAAAAAAATATGCTATAATTGTAACAAACTTTTGTTGTAACAATATTTACTTAATTTATATAATGACTTATTCATTATCATCATATTACAACCTGCTACTACTACTACTGTTTGGATAATCTTTGATCTTATTTATCTGAAAGTTTTCCATCAATTTTTTTATATCTTTATTTTGTTCAAATACAGAAATAAAACTATTTCATTCTGGATTTATATTTAGATGTTTTTTTACTGTTTTTATCATTCGATTTTTCCCCCACCACCACCTCCCTCTTTTCCCCACCCCCTCTAATGGATCAATTCAAATTCTTTATTTCTTTTCAGTTTTTTTTTTGTTTGGCTAGATCGATTCATTCGTAATTCGAACCATTTTGCAATATGCTACTTCGGATACACTACCTCCCATCAACCGTCCACCCACCATCAGAATCACCCACAGAGAATTACCTTTCAAAATAACCAAACAACAAACAAATAATCTTTTGAAATTGAAATCCGATTTACATTTTGTTCACCCAATTTTTTTATTCTTGCTTCATTTTCATTTTTTGATCTTTGATTTTTATGGAAAAAAAACAAATGCAAAAGACTACCTTGCGATAAGAATTTTGAGAAAAAATTGAATAATTAACGAAAATACAGGCAGAGAGAGAGAATTATTAACGCGTTCGCTACCGGAGATTTCGAAAAACACATAGAACTACAGCAAATAAACGACGCATATATGCGTCGCTGGTAGCGAACGCGTTAAATTAAATCTCTTTATCTGTCTGCGTCTGCTTTATACCTTACCCCATATTTTGTGCTTATCAATTTTCCATNACAGACGGTAAAGATAAGCAGGTAGAAAAAAAGGTAATTAATAATTTAATTTTACCGGATACTGATGATAATCATAATGGCAATTTTGAAAGTAAAGAAAAAAAGTCATGAAATCTTTACCTTGTATGAGTGTACGTGTACATACGTCGTCCATTATGATAATGATTTTTTTGTTTTGTTTAAAATCTTGAAAAAAGTAAAAAAACGAATGAAAAAATGTGTAAAAATTAATGATTGAATTTCATTTATGTAATATGTTTATGAACATGAATCATGTGTTTGAATTCAAATTGAAAAACATTATTATTATTATTATTAGCGATGTTTTCGTTTTCTGTGGTTATTAATGAAACAAACAAACAAGAATTTTAAAATCTTTTTTTTTTCAAACAAATTCTTCATACGTCATACGAAATTGAAGGAATAAGTGAAAGTAAGAGAGAGAGAGAGAAGTGTTAATAATATTTTCATTTTGATTTCCGACTCGCATCAACCAAACGTAGTTTGAAAATTGTTACTTTTTTTGCTTCTTGCTTTGTTTTGTCTTAATTTTTCAAAATTTATTTTTTTTGGTCTAAAAATAAAAATTCATAAACAAATTTTTATGATTAATATGGATGATGATTTTGGAATGTGAAAACAGCAAAAAAAAAATCAATCACCAAATATCATGTGATCGATGGGAGTTCAATCTTTGGTTTGTTTTTTCTGGTTAACGAAATTTCCAAATCATCAATGAATTTCTGCAGAATATTCTGCAATGAAAGCAAGTGGGATGAAGAATTCAAAACCCACAAAAACAAAAACAAACAAAAAACACGCAACATTCAAATTGAAAAAAAAAAATTTCAATTTCAAATGTGGTTGATTGTGTGGTGTTTGGACAAAAAAAAATATGAATATATTAACGCGTTCGCTACCGGAGGTTTTGAAAAACACATAGAACTACAGCAAATAAACGACGCATATATGCGTCGCTGGTAGCGAACGCGTTAAGAGAAAATTGAATTTTCTCTCCGTCTATTTACACAGAATATGGTCAAGTTTCTTTATTTGACCAAACAAACTAACTAACAAACCATATAATCCCACCAACGAACCGAAAAGACACAGTACAAAAAATAAACTATCGATAGAATCGATAGTGTGTGAATAGACGAAAAAAAAAGAAAATGATTAGGAAACTATGACGACAATCGAGGTAGGTTGAAAAATATTTTTTTTTTCTATTTATTCAATGTTAATTTTGGAAAAATTCTGAATATTATGACCGATATTCCGAAAACCGAAAAATTCTCTTGAAAATTTTCAATGTCAAATAAAAAGAAAAAGAAAAAGACGTCAAAAATTCTGAATGCTGATTGAATGAAACAGAATTTTTATGTTTGCCACATTAATGAAGGCCAAAATAATCTTTTCTTTCATATTTGAAATTCATTTCATTTCGCTTTTCGCTTTTCATCCAGTTTGTTTGTGTTTGTGTTTGTGTTTGTATTTGGATTAGGCAAAAATGAACGAAAAAAAAAACAAAAACAAAATTTCTTTCAAATTTACTTTGTTTGGGTGATGATTCTCAATGTTTGTTGATGATGAGAGAAATGTATCTGGTGTTTTTGTTTAGTTTAGCATCATCATCATCATCCGAAATGTTATAACATTTCATAAAAATTTTAACCGAAAAAAAAAGTTTTATTTTAAAAAAATTTGAAAATGATGAGATGCTTTCAACCGGAAATGGAAATATCATCTAAAATGAATAACTTTTAATGTATGAACAGAAACTATTTCAATCCATTGTTGAAATAGTTTAGTCCAGATTTTGAAAATTCCTTTTCGCAAGGAAATTTTCCTGGGAAAACAAATTTTTTTTTTTTAGGAAATTTTTCCAGGTTGCAAAAAAACGAAAAAAAATCGATTTATGAAAATCGATTTTCGACATGTGTAAATCACAATTTTCTTCTTTTTGGAAAAATTATTAATTAATTAATTATCCAAAAAAGTTAATTAATTTTTTTTTTGGGAGATGATCGATAACTTGAGTGTAATGTCTCATGTGATGGTGTTAATTTTATGGGAAATATTCCAGCCATCATCATGATCATTGACATTTGAAATTTTTCTGTTCAAATGTCAACAAATCAATCAAAAGGATCAATCGATTGGTTTTTGCGGGGCTGGTGGGGTTATTGACAGAATCTAATTTTTCAAAGTTGAAAAGTTTTTTTTTTGATATTATTTACCTTATCCACCACGACCAAAGAAAAAAACTTTTTTTCAATTTGTTTATGGAAAAACTTTGAAAAAAACCGAACAAAAAAAAAGAATCAACTTGAAAATATTTCTGGGAATATTTTCTTGTCAACAAAGAATTCATTCATTCATTCTTGTCAACAAAAAAGATAAGACGAAAGAAAAAAGTCTAATTTCAATATACACCATGTTGTTGTTGTTGTTGTTGTTGTTGTTGCTGTTTGTAATTATTGCTGTTTGTTGTTGTTATTGTTTGAAGAATAACTATTAAATAATAATAACAAGGAGAGAAAAAAAATCCAATTAAAATTTATAAGATATCATTCCATTCATTCCATTCAATCAGCCAATTTCTTTACTTAAAAACTGAAAAAAATGAAGAAAAACATTGACAACTTTTTCGTTATCGTAAAATTTTTTTAAAAAACTTTTTCTTATTTTTTTAAATTATTAATCAAATGTTGTTTCATCATCATCCGTTATTGTTTGACAAACAATGTTGTTGTCGATTATCATTTTTTTTTCTTTCAAAATTTCAAGTTCTGGTTGTTTGTCATCAGCCAACCAACCAACCAACCACTCATCACATTATTATCTCATTATCTTGCTGCTGTTGACATTTACAATTTTTTCTTTTACATTTTTAAAAGTACCAAGTTTTTTTTCGATTTTTGATTTTTTTGTTGTTTTGAAATTTTTTTTTTTAAATATGATTTCGAGCACGCCATCTAGTGGCCATCGCTGTAATCGATTCGAATATTTTTAAACTTTTAGCTGTTCGATTTTTTGGTTTTTGGTTTTTTGTTTTGACCGATAAATTTTTGACCAATGATGATGATTTTGACATTGAAACAGATTTTTGTAGTTCAAGTACAGTATCGTATTCGGTAAGCTTTTATAAATGAAAGTCGGTTTTAAACATTTCATTTTTTTTTCATTTCTCGTTTTTGATTTCTCGAAAAAACACTTCAATTTTTTTTTTGCTTTCTCTCAGCCGATTTCAATCGTTGATCTTTTGATTAAACCAAAAATAATCAAATCAAATAGTGAATTAAGATGATGAATGGTAATAATCCAATTGTAAATGATGTTGAAGATATTAAAACGGTTACATATTTTCAAAATCAACCAATTCAACAACAATGGTTTATGATTGTAAGTCATGGTAAAATACCGATGTTCAATGCACCTGAACAACGTTATCGACGACAAGCTGAATTAAAATCGATTGCAAAATCCATACAAATGGATCCTGATCGTCGTAAATTAATGATGAAAATAACCAATAATGATAATGATGAACAACATTCATTGGAATTGAAATTTTATTCACCAAATGATTATCGTTTTGAATATTCTATTGATTGTCGTCGTATTGATCTGTTTCGTCGTTCGAAAAAAGATCGTACATATTTTTATTTTACATTAGAATGTAATATTGGAACAAACAACAACA